AGCGTCTTACCTGGGCTAAAGACAAAAAGAACTGGTCTGTTGCTCAGTGGTCCAAAGTCCTCTTTTCTGATGAGAGCAACTTTTGCATGTCATTTGGAAACCAAGGACCCAGAGTCTGCAGGAAGAATGTAGAGGCGCACACTGCAAGATGCTTGAAGTCCAGTGTGAAGTTTCCACAGTCTGTGTTGATTTGGGGAGCTATGTCATCTGCTGGTGTTGGTCCACTGTGCTTCATTAAGTCCAGGGTCAACGCAGCCGTCTACCAGGAGATTTTGGAGCACTTCATGCTTCCTTCCGCAGACGAGCTTTATGGGGATGCTGACTTCATTTTCCAGCAGGACTTGGCACCTGCCCACACTGCCAAAAGTACCAAAACCTGGTTCAATGACCATGGGATTACTGTGCTTGATTGGCCAGCAAACTCGCCTGACCTGAACCCCATAAAGAATCTATGGGGCATTGCCAAGAGAAAGATGAGAGACATGAGACCGAACAATGCAGAAGAGCTGAAGGCCGCTATTGAAGCTTCCTGGTCTTCCATAACACCTCAGCAGTGCCACAGACTGACAGCATCCATGCCACGCCGCATTGAGGCAGTAATTGATGCAAAAGGGGCCCAAACCAAGTACTGAGTACATATGCATGCTTATACTTTTCAGAGGTCCGATATTGTTCTATGTACAATCCTTGTTTTATTGATTTCATGTAATATTCTAATTTTCTGAGATTGTGAATTTGGGGTTTTCATGAGCTGTAAGCAGGGCCGGATTTAGATGAAAAGAGGCCCTAGGCTATTCCACTTATGAGGCCCTTTCACCTATAGTGAAAGTGTAATTTTAATTTTGCTAACAACTTGAATGTAGGCCCCTCTTGATCTTGAGGCCCCCTCTTGATCTTGAGGCCCTAGGCTGAAGCCTAGTTAGCCTATAGGAAAATCCGGCCCTGGCTGTAAGCCATAATCATCAAAAGTATGACAAATCAAGGCTTGAACTATCTCGCTTTGTATGTAATGAGTCTATCTCATATATTAGTTTCACCTTTTAAGTTGCATTACTGAAATAAATGAACTTTTGCACGATATTCTAATTTTTCGAGTTTCACCTGTATATTTCCAAGATTTTTATCCAACAAAACAAAGCTAGTATTTGTATATTCACTTTTCCAGAACATCATGAAAGGTTGCCTGATACAAATTAGGCTACTGATTCAAAAATTTTAATATTGTTTACCACAGACTGCTTTGTACAGAAACTATTCTGCTCTACCTAAATGTACCAGAATTTGAACAATGTTTGCATGCAATAAAAATATTTAATCAACCAAGATCTTGATCAACTGTTTCTTCCAATAAACTTACTTCAGATCTCCTCTTGAGCTATATTTGCTAAATTCATTTCAATATAACAGCATTTTTTTTAAAAAATAGTTGCTCTGGATCTGTGGTATAGAAGACTAACAACTGATATATGTACCTGGAAAATATTTTATCCATTTTTATTTATATTACTTAACAGAAAAGTAACAAAAATAAAGAAAATTATTTAGTAGCATTGAATATTATTCAATTTGGGATATGTACTTATCAGGAAAAACATAACCTGAACTCTATGACCATCTCTTACCACCAGCTAAAGAAGATCTAGTGCCTCAACATAGGGTTATTCTGGTAATAAAATTAATTTATATAAAGTAGAAATAGGTATAATTTGGAAATTAACTCTTCCCAATGTTTTTTCAACTTTTAGAGAGGGAAACGTAGCACTATTTCTGTTAAAGAAAGATCCTATTATACAAACTACAGAAATTACACTCATAAATTAAGCAGTCTTTATTGGAGTATTCTCCATATTCACAATATTTGCATTGATTAAAATAGTAAAGAATGTTGCCTCAAATTACCTGCATTATCAGAATCTTTCAAATCTAATCTTTATTGTACTTATCAAAATCTATTTATTACTGCATTTTTAACTCATATGGTTCAGGACACCATATGCATGATCAGTTTTGTCTTTCTTGGGATCATATGGGACCACAAAACTTTCATTAATTACACAGGAACTAACAGTGCAATTTTTGATAGTTTGATCATCACTATTAAAAATTGAAAATAATGTTTTATTCATCTTAAGGTCAGTTTTCAATTATTATATCAGAATTTCCATATACTCTTGGGAATATGGAAGTAGTTCATCATTGCCTTCTTCCCATAAATTCTCAGAAGTTCCAACCTAGCCCACAACTCTTTTATTTCTTGATAGACTCCTATCCAAATAGTAACAGATGTGAGCTTTCTGCTGTAACCAAGGTGAGCTAGGTAGTGCTACTTGTTGAGAACACATCTGGAAAATTCACTAGTATTAAGAATTCAAAAGCACACATGCAGGTTTTTAGTGAGAATAACATAAACATTTGATGAATAGGATAATGCTTCTAGAAACATAAGATAATTTCTGGTATGACAATGAACATTTAGGATTAGGAGTGACATGATAGCAACTGCCACAAAGAAGAGGGGCTGCTATAAAGAAGAGTGGGTCAACCTATTCTCCCAAACACCTGGAGACAGGACAGGAAGCAATGGATAGAAACTAATAGAGGAGAGAGCCAACCTAGAAATAAGGAGAAATTTCCTGACAGAACAATTAACCGGTAAAATAGCTTTGCTTCAGAAGTTGTGGGTGCTCCATCACTAGAGATTTTCAAGAAAAGATTGGACAGCCATTTGTCTGAAATGGTATGGAGTCTCCTACTTGAATAGGGGGTTGGATTGGAAGAACCTTCCAAATCTATAATTTTATTATCTTCAGATCCCATATATCAATATTAACCTTGACTATTATGCCATAACTCATGTCATGTTCATTTGATTTCTAAAAAGAAAGTATTTCTAATACTTTCTTCCATAACTTCCCAGTCTTGGAATGTGGTGTTCTGTTCCACTGTGGGTAACATGCAGTAGCCTTCACTGAAAGCTCCATGATGTTTTGTTTTTTTTTAAATTTGATTTATATGCCGCCCTTCTCCGGAGACTCAGGGTGGCTTACAATGCATTAAGCAATAGCCTTCATACTTTTGTATATTTATACAAAGTCAGCTTATTGCCCCCCCAACTGGGTCCTCAATTTACCTACCTTAGAAAGGATGGAAGGCTGAGTCAACCTTGAGCCTGGCGAGATTCGAACCTGCAGTAATTGCAGGCAGCTGGTCTTAATAGCAGGGTGCTTTAGACCACTGTACTACCAAGGCTCCTTTATGTTATAATAATGTTATAGCATTATAGAGATGGTTATGACATACAGTACAGCAATGGCATTTTAACTGGATATTCATATTCATAGCAGTGATGTCTTCCTTACTATATAGTATTGAATACTTTCATGTCACACATAGTTCATTGTTTCTGGTGTTATTTACAAAAAAGTGTGGAGGACCACATGGGGATGAAGTTACTTTGATTCTTCAAGTGTTTATATTTCTGAGGACTATACTGTAAACTACAGCAGCAATAGTTAGAACAAATGTGCTAGGAAGACCAGCAGAGTTTTTCTTTCACTGCTTGGGTACAAGAGTGAATGTGATTTCAAAACATTCTGTAGTTTATCACCCCAATGATTGGTTTCACTTGGTCTGTTTTCTGTTCTACAAAGGTCTTGTGCCAAACACAACTGAAGCTGGAATTGTTATAGACATTTCCAAGCCCTACAAGCAACAACTAATTTTCCCCCCCATTTCTCGGAAAGAGCTGCAAACTGCCATCTGGTGTCTGATGTAGCACAATCCACCCACATTATTGCTGAGTAGTACCTTGCAAGGCAGAACTAGTGCCTGCCTTAACTGCATGTGCAAGGCACTTAGCTTTCAGGTGGCTTATCATTCTTTTTCACTGGCAAACTTTCCTATTATTCTGACACTAAGCAGAGCTAGGAGGCTGCCTCGCCGTCTCCTTTTAATGCCTCTTTCCCTCATCAGTTTCTTCTTCTCAGCTCCCACTGACAATATGGAGATAGGACGCCCGACAACCTGACGCACTGAGGCCCTGCAAGCGCCTCTCTTTAACATCTGGCTCTTGGAGTCCCTGGGCACCTGCAGGCACTCAATGGCTGCGGGAACAGCTTAGGGCGTTGTCGCCGCTTGCAAATTCCGTGTTGGATTCCCACCGCTGTTACTGGGAGTGTGAGCGGCTCCGAAAAGACAAGCGACTAAGCAGCCGAGCCTCTCTTTTCCTTCGTTTTTTTTCCAAAGCTTCTGCGCCTACTTCTAGAGCGATTTGTCGAAGACGCGCGCTTGCTGCTGCTGCTGCTGCTGCTGCGTGGCTGTTGATCAACTGATCATGAAGGAATCGGGAGAGGAAAGAAAATCCAGGAGCAAATCGCTGCTTCTTCCCGTTCGCTCCTGCTCTGGAGTCTGGAGCTCTGGACTGGGGAATCAGGTGAGGTGGCTAGGGACGCAGATCCTCCAAGAAAATCGCTGCACGACGAGAAAAAGGGCCTGGGACACGGCGACTCTCCCACCTTCAACCTTCCTCTCCCGGCCCGATTTCTAATTAGACATCCCTGTGCACGTGCTAGCCAATAGCCAGTTTTCAAAAGGCAGGATCCCCACGGCGACATATAATAACATCATCTAGAGAGTCACCCAGCCCTTTTTGAAGCGATGTAGAGCTACAACATTGCTGATCTATCTCTACAAGGAGAGCTGGGTGACTCTAGAAGACGACCCACTGCACTAAATGAGGCTGGCAGTAAGCAGATGAACGCAGGGAAAGGAGCGGCGGGCGAATGGATGGACGGACGGTCGAGACAGTGTGTGGGGAGGGGAGGGGAGGGGAGAGGATAGGATCGCACGTGACGATGCTTACGCGAGCGTGTTTTACCTGCCCACTTTTTAATATCTTTGGTTCTGCTGGAAGCAGGGAAGGGTTCTTGAGGCTGATGTGTTGTGAACCCCTCGCCTCTCGGATTGTTTGTTTCTGAAGAATGGTAATGTGGTGGCGGTAGATGTAGTGTGAATTTTATGTTGTTATTTGGATGCTCTATCCACCCCTACTCCCCCCCCCTTGAAGCGGCAGCTCTCTGTAAAAGTAGACCTGCCAAGCCATAAATTAGAAGACTACTAAAAATACCCAGACCAAGACTGACTGATGCGTGTGTATGTGTATGTTGGTGAAAATTACACGTCTTGCCAAGTTTAGCGCCTCGGAGCTTTTTTCTCTTGCTAAAGAGATTGCCGATGTTCTGGGGAAGCAGTAGGATGAACAAGAGGAATAAAGCTGAATGTGTGCATGGGAGTGAGAGAGTTTGAAGACCTTTTTCAAATTGGAGACTACAAGGTCCCAGGTAAGGCTATATCTACCATGAGACCTGAGGTGTACTTCCATAAAGGGAAGAAGCTTGGACTCTCTGGTCCAAGCGCCCCTTCTCACTTTTGGGTGAAGGAACGAGCAGGATATCATTCATCTGACATAGGAAACCTTGCCAGGTGCTCCTTGTTTATTCCCACCGTCCCCAAATTCTGCTGCTGTTCTCTGAAGAATTGGTCACATTGCCCTCAACTCTTTCCCCAGTTGCCCTCTGTAACTTCTGGTCACCAGCAGCAGTCGGGATTGTTGTACTCCCTAGCAATCATTTGGCTGGTGTGCTCAGCCCATCCTTTTCCTCTGATGGTTTATGTGAATGAAGGAGGGAAAATGGAACTGATCCATGGGTTTTTGGGTCTTCCTTGAATGATGGAGTGGGCTGAAGCTCGGTGATGGTTCCAGAGATTAGCTGATGTAATTCTGTTTTTTGCCTTGGATCCGTAGGTTACCAATTGCTGCCCCCATGAAGTGGAGATTGAACTGATAGTGGAATTGAAGTTTCAGTTCAGGATTTTGGGGTGAATTTGTGTGAGAAAAAAGGGAAGAAAACACTGCAATTACAAAAGGAGAGGAGAATATCAATTTATCTTGCTTATTCTTTGCTCTCTATTTTTTGTCATGAAGAGAAAACAGAAAAGATTTCTGCAAATGACACTGCTATTCCTGGTGACTCTAATATTCCTGCCAAATATTGGACTCTGGTCTCTGTATAGGGAAAAACATTTTATGAAATCTACAGTGCTGGGAGAACAGCAGGTAAGTGAAACAAATGTGATCAAAAGTGGCCGGCAGCAAAGCAAATTGTTTGTGTGTTAAGTGGGGAGTGAAAGCGTCTGTTTAGCTGCTATAAAAAGCTGGGATGGCTCTTAGCAATGATGCATCCTTTAAATTTGAATCTTTTGTTGTGGGAATACTGAATCCACTCTAGGGAGCCTGTGAGGCAGAGGCTTCACTATTGATTATAATGAACTAGAAGAATAATGATGGGATGAGATAGAAAACAAGATTGTAGAACTGCTGCCTAAGTATAATATCTGAATCATGAGCATCAGATCCATTAATTCTGTTTCTCATAAGTCATAACATATTGTTTCAGGTAGAACTCAAAGTTTATAAAGTAAATATATGCATGCTTGGCTGTATTTTTTTGTCTAGAAATCTGTTGAAGCTTGTAGAATGCAGCTTAAAGCTGATATTACAATATAAATATAATTATATAATGTAATTATACATTGATCAATAATATCATAGTTTTTTGAAGTGGTATAATGATCCTTATTAGTTTTTTTTTTAATTGAATAAAACATATTAGGATTCCTTTCTGTCTTCTTGAACTGTTCCAAAGAAATAAGTCAACTTGCAAGTTGGTTGTTCATTTCATTGCAAAAAATCCTCTTCTTTGTAAACTTCAGTGGGATTTGATTTTAAATATATTGCAGCCTAATCTTTCTGTTCAGAATATTCTGTTTTTTCCTGCTAGAAATGAATTTTGTCTCTTTGGTATTCAATTGCTTTATTTCCATTTATAAGGTTTTTCGTCACACACTATTGTTGCTGTGACACTACACAGAAAAGTATGTTTGTAGGCATGCATATAGAAATACACACACATTGTTTATGACTATTCTATTTTCTTGATGTTATAATGTTCTCTTAAGTACATCTAGTATATGATTCTCTTCATTATCTGAGATTAATTTTTGGCATAATTTTCAGTTTATGAAGCATAGCTTTGATGTGTAAACCCAAATAAGAAATGCATTAAAGTAGGTACCTTTTAGAGAGTTATTTTATGCAAAAGTTTAAATTGTTTCTAATAGATAAAAAGGTGTTATTACAATACCAGAACAATATTAACTGCAGAATGTTCTCTTTAGATTTTAAAACAACTTTAAGCACAGAGATGATAAAATATAATTATATTTTATATCAAAACAAGACGCTATCACCATATAAATAGTTATATTAATATATTTAATTTCAAGAATTATTACTCAAGTGTACTATTCTTCCACATATTACATGATCATAGATTATTTTGGTCAATAAGAGGTACAACCTGCATATCAGATTGGTGATTGATAGTATGCTGCCAACATTGACTGAATACATATATCTGCCAGTAATAAATTCAATTTTAAAGTGTTCTAAAACATGGTACTATCTAAAAAGTTTTACTTTTATAAGCAATCAGGTTTTTTACGAGGTGTTTTTTAAGATTACATTCAAGATTTATAAGTATTTTACAGCAAACATAGGATGTTTACTTGGAAATAACTCTTGCTGAGTAGTGCTAATTTCCTAATAAATATGATAAAATATGTATGTGTGTATATGTGTGAATACAGAAGTCTGGTTCATTACATAAGAATATAAATAAATATAGTGATATAGTAATACAGTAATAACTTTAAAACTGATTTTTAAGTTGTGTTCTTTCTGACAGTTGTTGCCCTTCAGGTGTGCTGGTTTACAACTCCTGTCTTCATTACCCATTAGAGAAAGCTGGACAGAATTTAGAAATATTGGTTTAAGACAGTCTAAGAGTATGAACTACAATTCTGAATGTCTTCTAAATATCATATATTTTTAATTTCTAATCAACTGTCAGCCCAATCCTATGCAGTACGTTCTGCTGCAGCTTATACTAAATATATCTAGAATTGCATTGGAAAGTATAACCCTGACCAGAAGAAATATTTATACCAGAACTCTAAATTAGATTTATCTAAAGTCTAATCATAAGAGAAGCCCTATCACAACCATAAAAATATGTCCCATCAGACTATTCATTACTCTGCTTCCTAAAAAATAAATGTCTGACCAATAAACACAGCATTTTTTAAAAAAGAGTCATGAATGAAAATGAGGGACGTTGTATTGGATACACCAGATACCATCATTTCATTTGACTGGAGTTGTAGTCCGGCCCAGTATAGGGATGACTAGAAGACCTTTCCAACTCTTGTTATTCTGTCTGTTGATGTTTTGAAGTTTCCATGAATAAATTGCAGCAATATACTTGGAGAAATCAGGGTTAATGAGATTTTTAGAATATGCATTATCATGGTTTATTGATTTGATATTAAAGCAAGAAAAAAAAAATAAGAATTTAACCTGGCACAAAGTATATGCTCAGAAAACTCTACTTCAGTTGTGCAGATAGATATTTATTGTAGCAAGCAGGAATCAAATAAGATGTAGCAATGCACATTTCTATCTGTAAGATATATATTTTCCGTGACAAATTATTAGTTTCATGTGACCTACTTTGTAGGAGTGCAAGTAATGAGATTTGGCTTCTTAGACCCTAGGTATTTACATAACATAATTTATTTATATTTTAATTTCAGGAAAATGTCTGTCAGATTATGGTGCCAACATTTTCTGAACTGTTGTCATTTTAGTTGAGTGGGATGATAATTATTTAAACATTAAAGTGCACTTAAATAGGCCTATTTTGAATCTCAGCTCTATAAAAAGTTTTTTTTCTCCTAAGACTACATTGCAGAATACAGCTTTGCAATTTTAGTTAAGAGCATGCTATAAGATACTGAATCAAGCACATTGTGGGTTTCTACTGAAATATGTAATCCTACAACCATTTACCTGGTTACTTAATCAGATTTTAATCAGAAGTAAGTCTGATTGAAATCGGTATATTTCAGTATACTGATTTGAGAAAATGTGTATGTGATTGCAGTGTAAAACAGCATGTGAAAGGACTGGTAATATGTTATCTGTTGTCTAAATTATATATGGTTTATAATTAACAAAATTGAAATCAGATAGATTTAGTGGGCATATCAACACTGACACAACTGTTCTAGAGATCAAACCTGATATATACTGTATTATAACTAATATTAATATTCAGACATTGTAACTTCTCTGGATTTCTGACATGCTGACTAAAATTTTAAGAATATTTTTCATTTCAGTATGCCTTCCAACTTTATCACAGAACAAAATGTACATATGAACGCCGCAATCCTCTACTTGGTTGCTTAAAAGTAGGACATATTGAACACTGTAGATCTTCTAAACAGGCATATGTATGCAACAAAGAAGATTTAGGCTGAAATGTGAACAGATAACTTCTGCAGGGCTCTCCTTTGAATGGTTGCAGAATGTCAATATTTTTATTTATGTATTATATATTGAAATTATTCATTGGATGAAATGCATGTGTGAACTGATACTGGATTATGTAAACCAGATAATGTTAAAATCACAGAGAGATTGATTCTTAAATTAATCAGAAACAGCAAAATGGCCAGGGTAGAGTGGAGGGGGTGAATCAGACAATTAACATGTAGAAAGGTTATTCAAGGAGGGTAATGGGACTGGCTGGTAACTGAACAAATTCTTTTGATTTCTTTCCATCCTTCTGAAAATGTCACAACCTGCCCCAAAATTGCTTTGGAAGCATTTGAAGAATTAACACTTTGTAATAGTATGATGTAATTGTATAGATTTAAGTGATGCATTAAAAATAAAAGTGATCATATCCTAGTGACATGTACCCAGCATTTGTGAAATAAATTGGAAACAATTTCAGAGTTTCATTTGTTTTGTAATCATCTCTGCATCTTATCTCTAAAGGCAGACTCTTTACTAAAAGATTGGAAAATAGCTGTTATAACTTTCTTTCAGCCTTGCTCAATGTTTTCCTGACTCAACAGTCAGGGGAGAGTCAGGAAATCATAGGGCCATTAGTGTGACATCTGTGTTGAATGATTTAGTGAAAAGTTAGAAAATAGTGGAAACCATGTTAGAGCCATATCAGCCTGGCTTCTGCAAAGGGAAGCCTTGCCACACTAACATTTGAAGTTCTTGGAAACGTCAACAGACATGAAGATGGGATGCAATGGAAGTAATTTACAAGTACCGTGTTTCCCCGAAAATAAGACCCTGTCTTATATTTTTTTGAACCCTGAAATAAGTGCTTGGCCTTATTGCCATTCACTCAAAAGCCCGATTGGGCTTATTATCAGGGGATGTCTTATTTTGGGAAAAACAGGGTAGTAAAAAAACTATAGAAAGAAGGAAACGTTGGCATACACAAAACATTGATGCTGGACTAATAGCTCAGGAAATTATATAGTATGATGGGAGATAGATAAGTTTGCATGTGACCACAAATATTCAGAACACTCAGTCAAAAAAACAATACCATTCAACTTAACTAAAGGATGTTTCAGGACTTGAACAGGAGATAATATTTAGATGGGAACTAAATTGATTTCTGCTAACAATGCGAAAATTAGAAGATAGTTATACTGTTGTCATGCAGTTCTCAAAGAAAAAGACATTAAAATGCATAAATTGGATCAAATAAGCATTAAAATGGGCTGGCAGTAATTTTTGTATCAAAATAATAACATAATATACCAAGGGAAACAGTAGCAAAAATTAATACAAAACTTGTTTATGAAAATTTGTATGAAAATGAAAACAAAGATCAATGCTGGTTTTCCATACTGGGTTTTTTGTGATTGAATATATTTGAAACAGAGGATCAGTTTAAATAAAATTTGAAGTTTTACACTATCCACAACAAAAATTAGTAGCAGTTGGTACAGAATACAGTAGTATAGGCAGGGTGTGTTATTGTCCCACAATCCCATTGCCATGATTACTTGTTGGCTTCTAGGAGATAGTTATCACCTTTAAAGTCCTTTTGGGCATGGTGTACTCCTGAGTTACAATGGATCCCACAAGATACAATGATATCTTGTGGGATCCAAGATGTG